AGTACCTCAAGCACCGCTCTATCTGGGGCTGCGCTGCTGAGCCACTCTCGATGTCTGCGTCGAACGGTGACCGCGGTCCCAAGCCGATTCGACACCGGCGCTTCCATGCGGCGACGGCGGCGACGTCCTTAGCGTTCCAGTCGTCTCTCGCAACGACATCGGTGCTTCTATGCGGCGACGGCAACGATGTCCTGTCGTCCCCCGCTACGACACCGACGCTCCGACGCAATGACGGCAGCAGCGTCTCGGTTGTTCTTCGCTATGACACCGATGCTCCGCTCCAACGACGGCAAAAGCGTTTCGGTCGCCTCTCGCTACACCACCGATGCTTCGATGACGCACATCAACCGTCGCCACCCGGGCACAGCGTCACATACTGACGCGCAAGACCGACATCGAAGCGCATGGCACGGCCAAAGTCGCTCCAAGACGGTGTACCGCCACCAAGCGTCGTTGCAGCAACGTCTGTCAACAGCACAGTCCCAAACGACAAGCGCCATCACGGTCGCACGCAGCTGTCACGTTGCAACCAACGCCAAGGCTGATAATGGCGGCTCCGAAGAACCGCAGCGGCGACGAAGAAGCCGCGCTACGTCTCCAGCACCACGCCCGACCGTCAGTCAAGCGACGCACACACCGTCGCCAAGCAGTCGCCAACGACGCCGATCACCTATCACTGGGGTACCACCTCGCCACAACCCATGGCAGGCGAGGTAATCAACCTCATTTGCCCCCTTTGCTACAAACAAGCCCGGCTCCCGAAACAACATGGATTAGGCGGCTTCTGGGACCGCCGCCACATGCTTGCTGCGTTTGCGCTGGGCGCCGACATGGTGCAAGTGGGCACTGCCTTTCTGACGACGCCCGAGAGCGGACTACCACCACCGCGCAAGGCAGCAATCACGGCCGCGACCAGCTCGACGGCAAGTGTCGTCACGCGCGGCCTCACGGGGCGGCCCGCGCGCATGTTGCGCAACGAGCTCGTCGACCGGCTCGCACCGCACGAGGTGGATGCGGCGTCCAGCGCGCTCCAGCGCCAGCGTATGGCCGACATCTTCCGCACGCATGACACCCGCTACTCGGTGCTCCTCGCGGGCCAAGGCCACGCCTATTGCCGCCTCGACGACACGGTCGCGACGGTCCTGGCTCGGTTTGCGTGAGCGAAACGCAGAAAAATAAGATCGTGGTTGACAACATAAAGCTAGCTGTGGAGGATCGCGTTGATTTCTTGCTGCACTTGTATGACTGCGAGGAGGTCGCCGGCCAGGAGGATCTTGGTCATGTTGGCGTCCAGCGGGTCGATCTGAAAGCTCACGACGGCGCTCGACGCTTGTGCTAGCTACAAGGATTCTTAGCACAGCCAACGAGACATGCAAAAAACGTACTCGGCGCAACCCGCCTCCCGTCAAAATCTTGTCGGCCGTGTCCATGTCCACGCGCATCTCGACCTGGGTTTGCATCAATGGGATCGACGCGCGGGATCGTGGCGGCTCGACCGACGACGGTGGGGCCGGGGCCGCCTTGACGGCCACCGGCGACGGTGCGCGGCTAGAAGCAACGGACCGTGGTGGCGACGGTTCGCGACCCGAGGCGACGACCGATGAGGAAGCGCCGTCCGAAGCCGCCGTAGCGGCCGCAGCGGTCGTAGCCGTCGTAGCCGTCGTAGCCGCCGAAGCGGTCGTCGAGGACACAGACGATGCGCTCGGTGTTTTAGCGGACGCGCTGCTGTCGTTGGTCGCCCGTTGCCGGTGGCTGTCGTCGCTGCTCTTGTCCGGCGTGCCGCTCACCAATGTCACGTGGCGACGGGACGTGCTACTGCTGTACCGACTCGAAGTCGCGTCGGCCAAGTAGACGGTGCGTCCGGCTCCTGACGCCATGTCTGAGAGCAGTGTGCGCTGGGTCTTGGCCGGCGGCATTGGCGGGTCGCTCAGTGGGCGCTTGAGTCGATCTTCCGTGTTGCAAAAGTCCACGCATGACTTGTTGATGCCACCGAGGTTGACGATCGTCGTGCGCTGCGCCGCCACCGGTGTCGTCGACCGGCTCAGCTGCACGATCTTGCTGCGCGGTGGTAGCTCGGATGTCTCCGTGTCCGTCGCGGCCTTGATGCGATGGGGTCGCTTGGTACTCGTCGTCGTCGTTGGTGTCGTCGTTGGTGTTGGTGTCGTTGTTGTCGTCGTGGTTGTTGCCGTTGTTGGTGTCGTCGTCGTGGTTGTTGCCGTCGTCGTTGTTGCCGTCGTCGTTGGTGCCGTCGTTGTTGTTGCCGTCGTCGTTGGTGCCGTCGTTGTTGTTGCCGTCGTCGTTGGTGCCGTTGTGGTTGTCGTCGTCGTGGTTGTTGGTGTCGTCGTTGTTGTCGGCGGCGGTCGGCGGGGGTCCAGTGGGCGGGCGACGGCAACACTGGCTGCGCTCGTACTAGGCATTTGAAGAAGCCGATCCAGGTCTTGGCTCCATGCATCTGCAGCTGGCACGGCGTCGTGGAGCTTCCACCCATTCGCACTCGCCTCCCATGCTGACGGCATGGGCGCGGGGACTGGTTGGTACGGGAAGGGCATGACCGGCGGTGGCACGACCGGCGTCACGTGCACGGCCCGCGGACTCATGCTGCTGCGCGGCGGTGAGGCATCGACGCGCGGTGGTGTCGGCAAGATGGCTTTGGTCGTCCAGCGCTCTTCGCTTGAGTGGCGGGCGCTCTTGTAGTCGTGCTTCTTGTCGTAGGACGACCGGTCGGGCGAGTAGTCTCGGTCGCGCTGCTGCTGCTTGCGCTGTCGCACGCGTTCGTAGCCGTCATAGATCGCCTTGACTGTCGCTGCGTGGGCTTCATACAGGTTTTCGAGCGTTCCCGTGAGAATGAAGAGCGCCTTGTTGGGGAGGATGGCCACCTGCCTTATGAGCTTGGTCTCGACTTGAAGCTGTTCGTACATCACAGTCATGCGCACATTGTCAATGTCCATCACGTCGCGGGTGAGCAAGACGAGGCGGAGCGTATAGATGAGGCGACTCGGGTCCGACGGCTTTGCTTCAAAGTCGGATTGCACCTGGTGGAGGCGGTCGCAGGCGTCCTTGACGTTCTCGGCATCGCCCAAGATGTGCAGCCGCCGCAGCGGTGACGCTATGACCATCTCGTCGGCAAACGTGATGTGGATGCGCGTGTGCGTGGCGTCGGCCACTTGCATGAGGCGCGTGGACGCATGCTCCAAGAGGTGCGCCGCAAAGTCCGACCTGATGTGCACGACGGCCTTGTCGTGCTTGTACGAGACCGACTCGAAGGTCGGCACGTACTTGGCGCGCAGAATCTCTTGTACGCGCGCCACGAGCACGCGCATGGCCGCGCTGATCTCGCTCGGCGTGCCCGAGACGCAGAGGATGCGGCAGTCCCTGTAGACGAGCGAATCGACGATGTACATGAGGCAGTTGACCGACCGCGCGAGCTCCTTGAGCTCTACGCCCGAGCGCACGTTGAGGCTCTGGGCCACGTCGGCCGGCACGAGCATGAAGGTCTTGGTGTACGACTTGGGCTCCCACATGCTGCTGCTGCTGCTCCTGCTTTAAATGCGTTTCTTCAAACTCGCCCTCCCAACCAAAAAACGGCCACCCAGC